GTGTCACTGTGCCCACCTAGACAGGCTCTTTCAGAGTGGTCCAGGCTGAGCATGAACTTGCAATCCTCCTGCCTCAGCCTCCCAAGTAGCTTGAATTACAGGTGTACACCACCATGTGTGGCTTTTCTTCTTGTTGTTTTTTTTAAAATTACACTAGTCTTTCTTTATCTTCCTCCTGATTCTCTTAGATTCTTCATCTGCTCTTCTGCCTCTTTTTAATATATTGATCTTCCCTAAGTTTCCTCCCTCAGATCTTTTTCTCTCCCTCTATGTAGTCTCCCTAAACTAGCCTTTTCTGTGACCATAAGTGTAACTTCTGAGTGTCAGTGATGCACAAATGTAGAAGTGACTTGTTCTTGAAGAGGGGAGGTTAGGATTTAGGCAGTGGCAAAAGCAAAAGTAGAACAGAATTAAAATTATCTTTGAAAATTCCTAACATTTCCTGCAAAATTCTGTATACCATTTGAAACGTATATACCATCAATCAAGAAGCCCTGCACAGCCAGTTTCTCTCTGCTATTGGAACAGAAGGTGGTTTCTTCAGTCAAACACCAGATGAAGTTGTTGGCTTGCATTTGGGGGCCATGTTATAAGAAAAATATGTTTTTGTTTTTTGCCAAGTGCCTATAGTATACTTCATCTAAATTAAGTAAGCCTAGGAGATAATGCCGTTGTATATATTTTTACTCTGACCTCGTTCATGAGCTCTGGACTTATACACCAAACTGCCAGCTTGATAGCTCCTTTTGGATATTGTTTTAATTATATTTCTGAAAGCTGAGGGAATGAGATAACCCACATTCCCCTTAGCAAGGCATTTATTGAGAGAGCCCAGCAATCCGCTAGGACACAGGTCATGCATGGAGAGTTTCTGTGTCATCTTGACTGATGTCTTTGTTCCATGAAGATGTCCTTCAGCACTGCAGAGCTACCCTCAGCCCTGTCAGCCTGGTTGCACACAGGCAGCTTCAGATCAGTGGAAACTTGAGGCCAAGCATCTCTTGAGACAGTGACCTCCAGCTGAATAGCTTTATGGAGGCCTGTGGAATTCATAAGTGTCTTGGAAGGCAACACAATTCCTGATTGGTTCTCTCACTGCTGTGCGGCAGCCATTGACTGTGACATCATCCACAGCTCATTGTCATGAGGTCATGCTGGCCAATCAGCTGAGCGGAATCCCAGCATTTCCTCAGTGACCAACAGGGCATGTGTTGCGTGTACTGAGCCAATATCAGAGACAAGTTCATATGGCAATTTGCTTCCCTTCCCCTTTATCACACACACCGAGAGGCAGAAATAATTAAAAGCATCATATGTAGTAGAGAACAGTCAAACATTACAGAAAAATGTAGCAGCACCACTCAACTGGGGGTGGCTTCTATCACTCTACTGTGATTAGAACAGCACTGGACAGCGTCCATGGTGTCTCGCTTACTTATCTCGTCACTGTCCATGTTCCAAACATGCTGTCTGCTGTGCACACACAGAGGGTGTCTCCTTCTGCTCTTCTCTCTCATGCTACACATTTATATGCCCGACGAAGAGTGAACCAGGCGTGGACGCTGTCCATGATCCATGCTCTTGCACAGGGTGAAAACCACAGCTCTGGGATGCTGTGTAACTAACTTTTGCTGGCCATCACATTGTGGCTTCTGCTCCTTCTAGGTGGAGCTGTTTCTTGCCATTGTTATTCCCTTCTCAGAACTACAGGGTATACCTTACACCCAGGGAATAACCCTTTCCTTCTGCCAAATGCATATTCAGTGAGGTTCAGATTAGAAATTAGTTCTTCCCATGTAAAATCACACCATCCATTTTAATGTTTTTTGGATGTAGCATTCTTTATTTTATTATACAAAATGACACACTGATGGTAATTATTTTTCTTAACAAAAATACCAGAAGAGTATGAAGAAGGAAAGTCATAGACAATGCCCTTCCCTGGAGGTGATCACTGTCACTTCAAGGTTGTGTCCTTCCACCAGTTTTCTGTGGGGCCATAAATGAGGCCATTTGTTGACTCTCAGTTTTGATCGTGCTTGAAAACATGATCACTGTGTGGTATTAGTGAATATATCATTCTACCACTTCTGTGCATCAGTTCCATAAATTTTAAAATGAATATTTTTGGTCTCTACACCCTGCATAGCTATGGTTGTTCCTAAGTCAATTTTATAGCAATAGAGATCCTCAGGTAAAGAGAAGTTAAATGGTTGCCCAAATTTACACACCAAATAAGTGATAAGAAATAGGTTTTGGGGACTGTGCCTGGGGGTACTCTACCCCTGAGCCCTTTTTATTTTTTATTTTGAAGTAGAATCTCACTAAGTTGCCTAGGCTGGCCTCAAACTTCTTATCCTTCTGCCTCAGCTTCCCAGAGTGCTGGGATTACAGGTGTATATCACCACGCTGAGCTTACATTTGGATTGTGGTATTGGTTACATGATACTTTAGTTCATTTTAGCTGTTATGACAAAAATATCATAAATTGGATGGTTTATAACAGCAGGAAATTTTTTCCCACACATTTAGAGGTTGGCAATGCCCAAGATAAAGCCACCAACAGATTGAGAATACAGGAAGGCCTTAGATCTTGGCTCTTGGAAAATCCTCCTGTAGCCCTGTGGCCATGGGAGTTAAGATCTTTTTTTTTTTTTTTCCTTCTGGTACCAGGAATCAAACTCATGACCTTGCATTTGCCAGGCAGGTGCTGTGCTGCTGAGCTAAATCCCCAGTCCTGGAGTTAAGATCTTAACATACGAGTTTTGGGGAGATGGGAACATTCCAACCACAGCACATGGATACATGCTTTTCTCAAAATGCACTGATTGAAGCTGGCATAGTAACACACGCCTGCAATCCCAGCATGGCTGAGGCAGGAAGATCTCAAGTTCAAGCAAAGCCTGGGCCATTTAGTAGTATAGTGAGACCCTGTCTCAGAATAAAAAATAAGTAAATAAAAAAGGGCTGGGGATGTAGCTCAGTGCACAGATCTTGAATTCTACCTCCAGTCCTTAAAAAAAAAAAAAAAAAAAAAAGCACTGAGCTATACGGTTAATCAAAAATTTATTAAACTGTATAAATAAAATCCCCCAAATGTGGTGTATTTCATGCATAAAGGTGACCATAAGAAACTGTGTGGGGAGCTAGAAACATTTCTGTGCTTATTTCCAATGCCTTCTGCTCCAGACTTGGGTAGAGACCTTATCCTTCTTTTTTCTCTTTTCTCCCCTTTCCTCTTTCTTTTCCTTTCTATTGGAGGGAGTTTGAGACAGGGTCTCACTATGTGTAGCTCAGGCAGGCCTTGAACTGGCAACAATCCTCCTGCCTCAGTTTCCCCGAGTGCTGGGATTACAGATGCCATCACACCCAGCTCTTATTTTTCTGTTAAATAAACAGACTTTTAAAGAAAACTGGTGGTTTCCAGAAGCTTGAGCACAGGGAACTCCCATCCCCCACACTCCTGTGTCCGCCTTGGACGGCCCTCGAGCTTCGCTGAGGAAAGTTTGTCACACTCGATGAACCCACCTCAATGCGCCGAGACAGAAGTCCACAGTTTCCACAGGGGTCAGCCCTTGTGCTGGGCAGTTTGATGGGTTTTGACAGAGGCACAGCGCCCTGTGCCCACCACCGCGGGTCATAAAAGTCGGGGCTCCCCGCTGCGCCTTCCTGCCCACAGGTTCACAGCTACTGAAATTCACTCCCTGCTGTTGCTCACACATTTGCGTAAGTGTGATGCACACTCAGCCTCCAGACACGTTTCTCACCTCTGTCCTCCAATCAGTCCAGCTGCTCTAGCTCTTTCTTTCGGAGAGAAACAGTCTTCTGAACCGGGTGTGCTGTGGCAGCCAGAACGCGGACTCACGTCCCAGAGTGAGTTTATTGAAAAGATATAAAGGAAGGAAGCAGCGCTCCCAGTAGCCGGGACAGAGCTCTGCGCAGGGCCCACCAGGGCTCTTGTTTAGGGGCTTCTAAGCGGTTCAGAAGGCAGCTCAGGCATCCTGTGAGCAGTTCGACCTCCATCCTACAGGAGACAACATCTTAGGGTTCGATCTGTATTGTTCTCGTGTTACCCACGCTGGGCACCTGCCTGATCGAACTCTGGGAAGATCCTGGACAGCACAGGGCCCCTGGGAGATGTTTCCGAAAGATCCCTGGAGGGTCATGACTCAGTTGGTCCCATTTCTGGGTTCCTGACTCCATTTGGGGGCCACTATCCTTACTGCTTAAAACAACCCTAACTCCTGTCTCACTAATTCCAGTTACAAAGGCAGAAGCCTGTAGCCCCAGCTCTTAGGAGGCTGAGGTTGGAGGACTGTCATGACTTTGAGGCAGGCCTGGGCCACACAGTGAGTTCAGTGCCAGTTTGAGCAATGTATTAAGACCTTGTCTCAAAAAACCACAAGCTGGGTATGGTGGTGCATGCCTATGATCCCAGCCCTTGGGAGGCTGAGGCAGGAGGATCTCAGTGAGTTTGCGGCCAGCGTCAGCTACATAGTGAGACTCTGCCTCAAGAAAACAAACAAGCCAAACCATAAAGAAAAGCACAACAGTCCTACCCTGTCCAGGTCTGATTGGCTACATTTCCTGTCTTTCTTGTATGGAGGTGTGGCTTATGAGATATGAATGGGGTAGGACATGTGTAACAGGGACTGACAATATTGAAAAAGCAAATTGACCGTGCAGCTTTAAACTTGGGTCCCCTTATAGAGTCGTACTACTTAAAAGATATTTTATTATTTTAAAGTAAATCCAGTAAGTATGTCTCCTATTCCCTTTTTTTTTTGAGGCAGGGTTTCGCTATGTATTCCAGGTTGGCCTCGAACTTGCTGCAATCGTCCTGCCTTGGCCTCCCAGGAGCTGGGATCACAGGTGTGCACCACCACACCTGGCTCCTATAATTCTCTCTGGAAAGATTCAGTTACAATACATTGTAATTTCTGGCAATAAAAGGAAAATGATCACTAATGTAATCATGTGTCTAACATTATTTCCTTCATGAGTCTCAATAAACCAAAACCAAAAGAGCAGAAATTTCCGTTTTTGGGAGGCCCTGTGTGCACCGTGGATATTCAAACAGTAAGCAGCAAACAGGAGCCTGCAGCAGAGAGGACAGGAAGCCAGGAGCTGGAGAGAACCAGGGAGGGAGGGAGGCGATTCCAGCAGTGAGCAGCGGTGGAGTGAAGCAGAATCAAGTCCAGTGCAGCAGGAGTGTCACGTTAGGATGCTGTCACTGGCAGTCTTGGTGTTTGTGTCTGTAGAATGGGTATTTTCCTGATCTCAGCTAGCACAGGTCCCTGCTTCAGTGACAACGGAAGTTACAACGGAGGCTCAGATATGCAGGTGAACAACTTTAACTGAAGTAAGAGAAAATGGAAAGTGACTTCAGCTTGAGGTACCGACAAAACTCCACCTGTTTTAACAAAGGAAAGAAAGAGAGAACTAGGGGATGGATGCGAGCATAAGGAAATGGGGGAAGCCGGGATCCCAGGAGAAGGGTCGGCTCAGACTGTTTAATAAGAGAAGGGGCCACTTTTCTGGGGCTAAGGTAGGCTTGGGTCTGCTTGGTCATTATGTCTTATTTTGTTCTGGGATTTCTTTGGTGGTGGTGGTACTGGGGACCAAACCCAGAGCCTACACACTGAGCTACACCCCCTGCCCTATTTAGTTTGTATTTTAAAATAGGCACTGGCTAAACTGTGGGGAAGGGGGCTTGCAATCCTCCTGCCTCAGCCTCCCTTAGTGCTGGGGTGACAGCGTGTACCACCATCCCCCGCTTCAGTCCTGGTTTTGTGGTTCTAGGAGGAATCCTTACAGTTTAAAGGCACTGGCTTCCCATAAGATGATCTGTTGGCCTGGGGTGCAGCCTCCGCTGTGCAGGGGGCCCTGCTTCCACTCGGGGAGAGGACCTCCCTAGGCGCTACCACAGGTTCTGCTTTTGTGGAATCTGAGTGCAGTGGAGGGCAATGACTGGAGAATTCTGGGCATCGCTCTAGGAGCCCAGAATCAGAATGCCGGCAGCTGGAGGCCCTGCACATCTGAAAGCTCGCTTTAGTCACTATCTCTGGATCCTCGGGCTTGAAGGGGTTGAGACAGGCTGGGTGAGCACAGGGCTGGGAAACCTGGGTCAGAGACACATCCGCGATGGGACCTGAGGCTTTATTTTAAAGGAGAAAAGGAGATGAGGAGCAGGGGAGGGGGGCTGGGGCGTAGTGGCACACGCGCATAGTCCCAGCACTCGGGAGGTTGAGGCAGGAGGATCATCCGGAGTTTGAGGCTAGCATGAACTACATAGCAAAACCCTGTCTCTAAATACAAAACAAAAAAACAAAAAAAATCTTGGGCAGCATTTGCCTACATCCCATAGGAGGAAGAGAGGGAGCAGCAGGAGAACAGGAGGAAAGAGGAAGAGGAGGAAGAGGGAGAAGGAAGGAAAGGAGAAGAGGAGGAAGAGGGGTTGGGAGGAGGAAGAGGAGAGGGCAGAGGTGGGGGGACCTCCCCCCACTTCTCTTTCCCGCTGGGCACGCAGGCCCAGCCCCTAGGCCCCTGTTACAATGTGAGATTATGGGATTAGCTATGCAAAAATTGTGCACCACAGCCCGAGTTCAGTGGAACTGAGCTTCTTTCCTGTCTTTGTGACTAATGCATTGTTTTAGTCCCCAGGCTGGGACCCTGTACCGGAGCCGCCTGCCTCTGAGACTCCACACTTCCCAGTGCCGGGGGATAAATACGAGAGGGAGAAGGGAACGGACCTTACCCATCCCGTAGGGTCTGTTTTTGGCAGGTGAGTCATGAAAACCATCTCCACTGCATGCACGTATTTCTTCAAAGTTAACATGGTGTAGCTGGAGCTTAAAATGTATTCCTGGAATAGTGAGTGGAATGTCAAGTAATGCTCTTATTTTTGCACGCGAAAGCTTTACGTTTTCAAGATAACAGCTTTTTAAAAAAGATAACTAAAGCTCAATTCTTTAAAAAAATCAAATGTGTCATTTAAATTGGCAGATACCAATTAACGCATAGCTGCTTGAACATGTTAGTTGAAGCTCATTTTTACTAGTAGTTTTCCTAAAGACCAGTTTTAATCTCCTGGGCGTGGTGGTGCACATCTGTCATCCCAGCACTGGAGAAGCTGAGTCAGGAGGATCACCAGGAGTTCTAGACCACCGTGGGCATAGTGAGTCCCTACGTTAAAAAAAAAAAAAAGTATGAGTTTGAATCTATCATGCATTTGGTAAAATTTGTGAGTTTCGACGAGGAAAGCAAGGGCTTAATCGTCAGTACAGTAATGGTGAAGACACAGCCTCGTTCCTTCACCCCTGTCTTCCCCTAGCCTTCTTTTGGTTGCTGATGAGCAGTATTCCTGCCCTTTTTCGAAAAATTTTTCTCAAAACTGTGGAACAATGTTGGGCTCACAGGAAATTGCAAAAGTACTACCTAGAGTCCCAGGTACTTATTGCCCATTTTTTTTCAGGTAACTGTGTGCAAAATCGAAACCGAGCCCCGGAAGTGTGCAGCCAGGCTTTGCGCCCTCCCCCGCCTGAGCTGACTCCGTCTCCAGGCAGTTTAATTCTGATGTCTGGGGTCACAGGCCTGTCGCCCCTTCACATCCAGATGCGTGGCGACCCCGGTCTGGCGCCTGGCCTTGGTCCCCTGCACTTGCCTCAGTTTCCGCCGGCTGCCAACAGAGCAGAGCCCTGTGTGTGGGCCGGGACTGTCGTGCGTTTTTGTGCATTATTTAGTCCTAGTCTTGGGTCACAAGTTTAACAGCTTCTATGAGCCACTAAAAGGTGAAGAGCAGCCCAATAAAGTGCGACGCTGAGGCCCTTTTGCAATATTTAATATTATTTTTCAGCACTGGGCATTAGACCCAGGGACTCCTAACTGGGCAACCTTCCCACCACTCTTTTTATTTTTTAATTTGAGACAGGGTCTCCCCAAGTTGTCAAGTTGCCCAGGCTGGGTTCTAATTTGGGATCCTCCTGCCTCAGCCTCCCACCGTGCTGAGATTACAGGCCTGGCCCTGCAGGTCCAGCCAGTTCTTTCTCAGGGAGAACTGCACAGCAGGGGAGCCCAGAGGTGGGCGTGGCGGACCGCTGGCCCCGCCCAACGCGACAGTGACGTCACCCGCCTGCGCGAGGCGGTCGGTGCGCGGTCGGCGCAGTGCGCATGCTCAGCCGGGGCGGGCGGCTGTGGCTGTCCCCGCGGTCCTCGCGC